AATACTGTTAACGCAGAGGTGTGGGGATTATCGCAACCACCTCCTTTCCCTATTTCCGAAGGGTTTGGATTTGCTTCCATATCCTAAGGTTAACCTGCGTCTGTGAACTTATTCAAGACTAAGACCTCGTATGGGGGGAGGAGGGTTTTCGCAACCACCGCTAACCCTCCCCTATTGCCCAAGGGTTTGGAATGCTTTCACGTCCTAGGTTTTACCTGTTATTTCTTATTACTTTTTTTTATATTTTTCATTTCAAGTAAATGAACAAATTCTCACTTTATAACGAGGTTTCAGGCTATTCGAAAAATAAAATAACCTGTCGCTCCCAAGTAATAGTATCGGCTATTTTTGAGCCCGTTTCTCGTAAATGCTTGTAAATAACCAGCCTAACAAAGCTGTAGCCTGCAGAGCAGACATATCTTTGTGCTGCTCTGTCGCCATCTTGGATGATGATATTGACAGAGTGTCAACGCAAGCCAAAAGTGATTGCAAGCCAAGGAAAAGGACGACGAGCCTAAAATAGAGAAAGGGGAGCAGAGGGAAAGATACGCCTGCGCGTAGTCATTGTTCGTTTGGCGAACCCGTACACTGGATAGACTGGGAATCTGATTGGTGATGACGGTAGCATTTTGATTGCTAGCTGCCAATCAAAACCACGTTTTTTTTCGGTCCTTTCGCGCCGAGAATTTACGCTTAATTTGCTCGCTTCTTGAGATTTTTGACGGTAGTCGCGACGCAAAGATCATGAAAAACTTCAAAACCCAAAGGCACAAGGGAAGACTCAACGTGTAAAGGAATGCGGCGCCTCTTATTTTTAAGTTCTTCCCGTGACCTGTTGCGCCGTAGAAAATCTTTCAGAAGCGCCCGGGTACGAGGCAGCTCTCGAGCCGCAAGCTGACCTTTAATGCCATTTTCAAATGTACCACTCGCTGTTGGAAACGTTGTGAGGTTGATAACCTTGAACAAATGGCCAAACTGACAATTTTGGGACCACCTTGGACCGAGTAAACCTCTGCATCAGTGCTACTTGACGGCAAACGTCTGCGAGCACATTTGTTAACGAATCTTTCTACGGCGACGGTTTAACCAGATTTTGCAAGGAGAAGTATTTTTTACCAGTGAGGCCCCTTAACTTCACTTTAAAATAATATTTACAAACCTTACTTGGACGTAACGTTATATCTCTGGCTATCTACATTCACCAAAATAGATCAAATACACCTGTCAATGCTTTTGACTCCGGAAGGCAATTTCGGCTTCTAGTGAAAACGAGCTCAATTTTCATTGGCTGTATAAAACATTTGTAGAAAAGAGATCAAGCGCAACTAATTTGGGGGTGTTCGATAATCTCATAGGCTTTGTCGGAAGGCGTTTTTCCTTTCTCTTCCCCTCACCCTCCTCGGCCTACTACCAATATTCCAATTTTTACTTGCTTCCAAAATAGTACTTAGCACTTTGTCTACTCCCTCTACGGCGTTTTCCCAGTCCATATCGGTCAATTTATTTCAATGACGTATCCGAGGCCAACATTTTCGCTTGGACCACGTGACCTGAAATGCTTTGGCCGCGCGGAATAATGAGGCCTAGGGACTGGTCAACTTAACACCATGGATCAAAGTTTCAGAACGAGCGTGTGTAAAAAAACCTTACCCAAGTAAAAAGAAGGTATACGTTAGAGAGATCCTCTCCTGTGGGGTCCTGTTCCATACAGTCAAACCCCTCTTTACGGACACCTGCTTAATACAGACACCTCATTACGGACAGTTTGTTTTGTCCCTTGGAAAAGAATGCCCTTATATTCTCTCTAAATTCAACCGGCTTAACACGGATACCCCGTTTATACGGACGCTTTTTATGGTCCCATCGCTGTTCGCATTAACTGGGTGTGGCTGTACTTTGTACTTCACATTATACCGGGACGGTGATTATACAGCGGTTTTATCGAGATTGCACTGTACTTCATGACCCCATGCCATGAATTATCCCAGTTTTCTGGCACTTAGCTATTTTCTGATTCAATCAGATTGACCTTCAAACATGTACAGTTCGTAACACATCTGGAAAATCAAATCGTGAACTTCGAGTAATAAATTGGATTCATTGCCAGCCATTTTACGAAAACAGAAAAAAACAAACCTTCGCCCTTTTTACCCCACTGTTACACAGTAACAACATGGTAACGTTACCCTGCCAGCAGGAGTTTCTTTTCGCTATGGTTTTAGCATCCATGAAGTCTTATTCGTAGGTAGCATTCACGTAGTTGGCTTGTTTACTTCCCTAATGTTTAAAACCATGCCGGAACAGACAAACTTCTACAAGCAGGGTAGGTAACGTGGCTGGATCTAGGAGGTTTGATAAAGAGGAGGTAGGTAAAAGAGGATCGAGTAGGGAAGTTCAACTCCTTTCATCTATTGAATCTGTTTAATTGTTGGTCATTTTCACCCTTTCTAGCCTTTAACATTACTTCTTCAAGGAAACGTCAACTATGTAGACCTCTAATATCATGATGATTCGTGCAACACACAATTTTAACTACTAAATTAAACTCGCTATTAAATTAGACGCGCGTGTCAAGTCTCAGAAACACAGTGTGGTGCAGTCCAGGTCACGGAACGCCTTAACATGACCCCAATATCACTATCTGGTCCTCACAAAGTATATTACACGCTACGTTTTACCTTTTTTTACTACAGTGTTACTGGGAGATGTGAGCCACTTTCAGACATCTGGAACATTCACAAAAAAGCCTTACAAAAAAGGTTCACAACATTCTTCTTGTTGGTTTAGCTGTACGTTTTGTCCAGATTTCGTCAATTTATATGACAAGCCATTGGTTTCAAAAGGTGTACTGATCATGACTGAGAGTGAAAAACAGGTTCCATTCTAAGCTACCAAATGAAGGCGGTATGCGAATGTTCAGCCTTTTTTCCAGTTTCAAAACAGTTGGTCTAATTGGTGCTTTTTACGGACCCTCCCTCCGACCCCTACCTATATTCGCTACTCTGTTAACGTACGAAATTTCAAAGTTTATTATATACATGTCTCTTTCAATTCCCGGATATAGCAGCTTGCATCCAGGGCTGTTCAAATGGATTTGAATTCCAACTTTTGCAATTATTTCTTTTCATCCATCGCCAAGAACAACGCTAACTAAAGACCCGGGGGTACTCCCTATGATGGCCCATACAGAGAGGCTCCGCCCGAAAGGGGTATCTTTTTCAGGCTTCAGTTACCTTATTATAGGAAATTAACGCTCCATGAAATTAAGGTATTGGAAATTAACGCGACTTAAATTAACGCGAGTTTAATGGGAAACGACTTTCGAATAAAGAAAATTAACGCGAAGGAGGAGGTAGAATTTCATAATAAAGGAAATTATCGCGATTAATTACGCGAAATCAAAGGAGAAGGTATTGACATCACGTTTGACAGCGACAACGATGAGGATGAACTCGAAATATTGTAAACCTTCGCCTTAGCTTTTGTGAAAGATGAAATATAAAGGGTAAATGGAAAGAAAGAAAGCTTGTAGTTAATGTTTTTTAGGTGTCAAGAATGTCTGGACAGGTTCCAAAATTGGGTTTAAAATACTAGAAATTAAGAGCCACAAAATAAACGCTGCACTTAATTAACGTCGCGGAAATTAACGCTCAACAAAATTAAAGCGACTTAAATTAACGCGAATTTTAACGATTCGCGTTAATATCGTGGAGCGTTAATTTCCTATACTAAGGTATATGAAAGGGTAGGGATTTCACTAGTTGATGTATATAAAAGGGGAGGGAAATCTGTTATTTGGGTCTGTGAAAGGGCCCGCAAAAGGGCTAACAGATAAATTTTATGGTTCTATAAAGTCGAGAAAACGTTGAGTTCAATTTTTGTGATTGATTCCTATTTGAAAGACGAGCGCTTTTACAGCAGTTGAAAGGGATGAAAAGTTCTAAACAAGGTATGTGAAAGGGGTACCATTTGCCAATAGAAGGTATACGAAAAGGGTACCTTTTTCGTGAAAATGGCATATAAAAGGGTGAGGAGTTGGACCTCGGGGCGGAGCCTACCCGTATAAACATTTGTTGAGTACCCCCCCACACCCCCCGGGACTAAAGATCATGGTCACTGATTTGGAGAATTCAGCTCTTCTTGCCCTACTTTATGACAGGCCACCAGAAGTTGCTCAATTCACTTGTGTTGAAACTGCAACTGAAAACAGAAAGTTGCGTGCGTTATTTAAGTAAGCGGGAAGCTATCAAGTCTAAAATTCGCGTTTTTCGCAAATTCAAAACACTGATCCCGAAATCTACTACTCGCAAAAACTAGAATGCAAGAAAAATTAAAGTTTCAAAATTTAATACTATGTCACGTTACAACAGAAAATAATTCTTAAATTATAGTTGCTGTAAGACGTGGACATGATGGCAATGATTTTAGGTAATTTCAAACATGGTTCTTTCTCGTAGATTATTCCATATTAGACTCATATTCTCTCTCTGCTTCACTGTCATCTGTGCCCTACAGTATAAATCTCTCAAAACCGTCTTTGGTACATTCACTAAACTTTATGGTCGGCTCTTTCTTTTTGGCGCTGGTCTTTTTCACTGAGCAGGTCAAAGAATGGTATTATACCCTTTGTAACTTCGGTATGTGTTTCACCTAAATCGCGGAATACGATTTCTGAATTTATGCGCGAAAATTTGTAAGAATGAGATTCACTCTAGACGTATATCTACCGGTTGTGTTGTGGTGTGGGTTGGCTCCTGGTTTAGGCTGTAAGTAGTCCCCTATTTTCTTCAAATTAATGTTTTTAGTGCAGGAAGTACACGCGCGGGAGAGAGAGAGCCACCCTTAGTCAAGCGCGTGGTTATTTTCGTGTATCGCGCCTTTCGCTCTACGGACTGAGAAAACGAAGACTGCTCGTAGAGTCTAGATACTGTCAGGTTACAGTAACTTGCGAAACTGGCCTTCACGTACCTATTTTTCACCGAGTACAGAAAGGCTTACCTTTATTTCTTCTTTTTAGATTCTGTTTGCAACTGTGCGTGGACGAATTTTATTCTTGTCTCGGACAAACCAATGGCGACAAGAGGCTGATATAAACAGGCTCCCAAACAGAGCGGTCGCTCACCAATGTCTAAAATACTTAGTAGATCTCCGGTTCTGATATTATACAATCGAAGGAAGTTGTCCTCACTGCAGCATACCAGAGATTCATCATCTAAAAACTTGCATTTAACAATATCTTTCTGGTCTCTAAGAAAGACGTGCAATGTCTCTCCAGTTTCCGCCTGAAGAACGTGTATACCTTGGCCCCCGTCGAGAGTGTTCCACGTGACTACACAATCATTTTTGGGCGAAAAAATCATGTCTGGGTTGAACAGGTGCATTGAATCGGCAGAAAATGTCGTGTGTCTTTCCCATCTTGTGATACCTTCATTCCTCAAACTCACTGTTACATTCTGCTTGTCTACAAGTCCGTGATTTCCAATCATTATAACCCTGGAACTACAAACCAGCACTTGGCTTAAACTGCTACTGCAAGAGATGCCGTCTAAGCTTTCGTTAACGTCAGCGGCTTTGATCCTTAGCGAGGAAATAAGCTTTCCTCCAAAGTTGGTGACGTCTATGAAGTCAACACAATCGAAGTTACCATCTGAGCCTTCTAACAAATCTGCTTTGGACGATTCTTCGTTTTCCTCCCGGTTTTGTAAACTTCTGATGCATTTTAATTCGTATGATCTCGGGTGATAAAAGAATGCTATCCGATTATCAGATACAGGGAACATGTTAACTCTGTATAGCATAGCAGTCTTAGAAGTAAGTTCGACAATACGTTGCTTACATTCAGACAGATCGAAATTCCACAGTTCTGCTACTATGCGCGGTTTTTCAGTAGTAACAAGTACGACACCTGTCTTCATTGGAGCGATAGATGTAGGACCAGAGAATGTCTTTGACGTCAAGATTTCTCGAGTTGACATTCCCCATACAGTGATTGAAGAAGGAGAAGGTGGAAAAACGATGTATTTCTGAGAGAGAATAAAGTAGATCGCATCTCCTTCCAGAGAAAATACAATTTCTCTGAAGTACCTGAATGACCACAGGGCCACAATACGAAGGCTCTACGTTCAACTTTTTCAAAATGAGAATTATATGCATTTAAAGGCCTAAGGAAGATCAATTCAGGTTTTCCGGTAGTGTCATAACAGAATGTGAAGTCGCAATAAGGGCAAGAATCGTCATCTGGGCATTTTTTGTGTAGAAAGCCACAAGCAAGAGTGTTGTTATCCGATGTGAAGCGTAACAAGCCACACACGAAATAACCCAAGCAGTCCGGGAGTATAACATACAAACGAGAAGGGCGTTTTGAGTCAAAAACAGTAATTGTACCAGAGTGATCTACGTCAAGATTCGAAAAAGCAATTAGTGACCCATCATCAGAAACGGTAAAGGAAAATATGTATTTCTCACAATCAATGAATAGTTTTTGGCCATTTTCCATATCCCAAATGCTTATCCCCTTTGGCTCTGCAGGGCAATGTGTGAATAGTGAGTCCCCTTCTTTGAACGAACGTAAGGCGCAATTTGAGAACGTACAATCACTTTCTGGAAAAAGGTCTTCTTTCTCTCCAGTCAGGGTGTAAACATATTGAAGGGTTCCAGGTATTATCGACTTCCCATTTGGATGAAAGATGACAGAATTGTAAAATGATAAAAAATGCATCTCTATCTGATGATATGCGCCATTCTCATGATATTCATTTCTAAAACCATACTCTCTCTTTATTGGTGATGGACGAACCCATACCTTGGTACCAGTCTGCAGGGAAAACAGATGGATTGTTCCATCTCGACACTCACATACCAGGTAATCCATTTTAGGTGAAACATCAAAACATGCGATATTGTCTGAACAGTAGAACCTTGCTTCATCTGCTTCCCTCGTCTGTTGCTTACTATTATGTAAGTTTTTCATGTAGGGTATTGTGGGTAAAGATGATTCGACGATACTTGCTGCTTCAGACGATAATACAGGAACCCCGTCGTTAATCAAACATTGAAAAAATAGGTGAGGGTGATCTAGCGACATATAATAGTGTTTTCTTAGAACTTTATAGAGCAGTGTTGCAATTGAAAGTCTTTGCTCATTCAGTAGACCCGAATGTTCATTGCAAATACGGAAGAGATCCTCCGTGGCAGACGTTCTATTTACACAGAGTTTTGCATAAATAAGCTCTAGGTCCGTCACATACTGGTAAACCTGATGTGATGTGCCAGTCGTGGTCCCTGAACAATCAATCCATTTATGATCATCATTGGCCTCAAGCATGTACTGGACAGTATGAATCAAAGCATAACTTTCAGTATTGGTGAACTGTTTGCCATGAACCCCTTTTCGCTTGATGCTATCGAGTTCAGAAGCACAAAGATCAGAAAGGACGTCATGACCTTCTTTCTCGTCCACAGTGAAATCATGTTCTTCATAGGGTGATGATGCTATTAACCAGTCCTTAATTGACTTGTGAAAAAAATGGAGACGACTCTCGCGAACTGGTAACAGTGTAGAGATGCAAGATATTGCTTTGTGAAGTTTTCGCTGCGCGGTCAAAGACTTTTCTCCAGGGTATAGAATTTTGGCAATGAATTCTACTGGTAATGGTTCTCTTGAAGCGGTCAATGCACACAGGAAACGCAACAAATGTTCTTCATCTGCATGAAGCTCTTTGCAAAGTTCATTCTCTAATCGTTTGAAATAGGACAAATAAACGGATGTAATACCTGAAGGCAATACGCTTTCCAGCTGATCAGGGGTAAGAATTGAAACATTCCTTTGGATAAAATCCACTATAAAATAAGCGTAAATAAACAGGCCTTCTGATTTCTTAACCAGCTCTTTCAAGATAACATCTTTATGCTCTTCCCCAATTTTGTTGCTGAGTTGATTTTCAAACAAGGTTTGAATGTCATTTAAGTTCTCTTCTTGCTTTTGTTTAAGCTCGATTGGTTCTAAATGTCGCAATGCGTCTATTATGCTCCTCTCTGGACGAGTTGTGATCAAAATTCTAATCCAAACTGGAAGCATAGAAAAGTGGTTACTGATTACATGTAGAAGCTCATTGCGTCCTTGGTACTCGCTTTCATCAAGGCCATCAATGACTATTAGTGTGTTTTGTCCAGGATCTTGTACTGTGCTCAGAGACTCTTTGAACAGCAACGCAAACAGCTCTTTAACACTCATGTTGTTGAGGTCTTTACCCAGATTTCTTGAAAGCTGTTCCACTAGAGCATCTTTGTAATTTGGCATCGCTTGACACAAGTGACAGGCCAAAGACTGGAGCATTAAACGTGGATCTCGGTACCGTGAGTTGTCATGCTGACAAAAGTGGCTTCCCGAGAGTCTTCCAGCTTTTTGAATTCTTTGCGAAACAACAGCGGAGATAACAGTCTTTCCCATTCCTGGATTTCCACTGATTACCATCAACCGATGTGGCGATGCTCGGTCATCTAACCAGTTTTCAATGCTTTTGAAGATCCACTCACGAGTTCCTTCTTGGAATTTGTTTGCATGAAATTCTATGTCTCCTTTGAATTCCGACTTCACAAGAGTTCTTAGCACCTCATCTGCGTGCTCGTTTCTCTTTTTCGTCAAGCTTTTTACTTCCTCTTTTACCTCTTGAATTGACGCACGAATTTCGTCTTGGGACTCACACACTCCCTCTAAACGTGACTGTGCTGCCCTCATTTCTTGTTGTCCTTTGAGTTCTATTTCCACTGCTTCATCTACGACATCCTGAGTTTTGCTTAGGGCTTGACGTAGCTCTTCCATCTTTAAAGTGCCATCTTCAACTGTTTTACTGAGTTTAATTTGCGTCTGGTGGATATCCTTCAACTGGATTTTTATGTCCTCTTCACTGTCAGCCCACTCAATTAAGGCATCAAGGTAATCTTCCTCTCCTCCATGCTCTGCCTTCAGTCTGTCAATCTCAGCTTGATCTAAACCGAGCGAATAAAGAGTGGTGCTTATTTCTTGCCAAAATGAAGAGAAAGATGTCGCATCAACCCCTGTGGACGTCACGTGACCATACAACTCATTCCGAAAGAACTTAACGCGAGCAAGGTTAGCCTCAAGAGAGTTGTCACCAGGGAATGGCTTGGTGTGCCATCCTGTCAGGGGAGGGGATAAACCACAAATGTTGGTTAGTAGAAGGAACAGAACAGTGATGTCAAAAGTGTTGGAGTCTGGTAGCCCTCCACCTGAGGGGAAGAGTTTGTCCCACTGCTGGCCATTTAGAACTCTTTTACGCAAAAGGGTACTAAGAATAGTGTAATTGGAATTGAGATCAGAAGTTAAGTTGGCAGGAGGGTGAATAGCATCAAAAATATTCCTCAGTGCTCTTGTTCCACAATCAATAAGCAGTCTGCTCAGCTTGTTTCCATTTGTCTTCTCTCTCGAACTGGCCAGGGATGAAGGTGCTGCTGTCGCCATTTAGCAACCTTGATGCAGAAGATGTTCATGTCTTGGAAATTCATTCTGAACCTACGTTGACAAGAAAGATATAACGTGGGTCACGCTACAACGATTAACTCGCTCCGTCACTGTTTTTGCTTTGTTTTTATGATTACAATACCGTGAAACCAACACCAAGTCATCCGTAAAGAGAGTTAGCGAATATTGTTAATACGTGACGATTAATAGGAATACGATCATGATTATATATATGAAAAAATTTACAACCAATCCCCTCAAGGAGGGTGTTTAACTTATTAGCTGTCGAGGGTATTTAGTGCAATGAACCGAACAGGAACAACTATCGTGGTTGATTTGAGTTGGGTAGCCGAGCGCATTAAAAGGACAAGAGCTGTGAAGTCCCAAAGTTCCGCTTTGTTAGATATTCAGGGAGCTATTAATAGTAATTGCTTTAATTATACATGACGTTTCCTTTGTGCATAGAAGCAAATACGTAACATTAAAAGTTTGGAAATCATTTACTGCCAGGTCGTTTGTTAGAACCAAACATTATACATTATCATTTTATTTGAAGCCAACTGAATGAACAAATTATCGGTCTATTGATTTGCAAAGCGAGGGAGCGTGAAAAAATATAGTTACCTAAGCAACACAACATTAACGAGCAAAACAAATGCGGAAATTCACGACAACATGACCATATTAATTTTCCTATATCCGCGACACTCAATTTGAGAAAGTAACTCACTCTCTGACTGTCGTCAATACAAATAATTGTCTGTAGATGTCACAGGGTATTTTGAATGTTGAAGTACAGTAATGCAAATTGATATTGAAGCCGTATAATGAATTAGCAGTTTCAGTTTCAGTTGATTGTAAGTCATCACTTGATTGCATACACTCAGAATTTAATGACCACTGGATTTCGTTCACTTGTGAATTCTTTACAAGTTTTCTAATAAACACACTGCCTTTTTATCTGTTTTTCCCGAAAAGAAGAAGAGCTGTGTCATATAAAGCTCGCAATAACTGACTGGGTTATCAACCGTATCAGCTTTTTAGCGTGCACCATACTTTATGGGCCAAGTTTACCTACGAGTTTAACAGGGAAGGGAAAAGAGAAGCATAAACTTTCAGATCGATGCAGATATCATCAGTAGGCAGAAAAAAGGTAAACGACGTACTTGCATGTACTTGATTAACTGGCCGCTCACAGGTGTTCATAGCTCAAACCCGTCTGGTGTTGTCTAGGCGGAAATAGATAGATTTGCGGTCTTTCTAGGGTGGCAAAGGATATTCTTTCGTTCGATATTATCGGGAGGTAATGGCGACAGAAAGCTTTCAATTAAAAATTGCTTTGAGCAAGAAGTTAGAAGCTAAGAGAGCTTAAGAGATACCAAGGGGAAATATAATGTCTGCTTCGTGGAATGTTTATCCGTTTCTTACGCTCTCTGCTGAAAATGTTCTAGAAGCTTTGAAAGTTGCAAGATGTTGGCATCAATCTTAGAGGTTTCTTCAAGATCCCAAACGTAATTTACAGAAGTAATCTAAACAAAATTGCACTACATAGTAAAAGTAAAATATCGATGTGGATACATTAAGATGCCTCGATAAATGCCCTGTGAAACGATCTGTGGAGTACACAAGGCCCTGAAGCTATTTTTTGATAAACTTACCTCTCTGCTGGCACATTCTCTAACGAAGCCGCTTCCCTGTAGATCCCTGGACATGTTTCATTAGGAAACAAAGTGTTCTAAGTGACGTGGCCCATCGATGAATCTCAAATTTAAACAGTTTGAGTACGACAAACTCTTGTTTCCATTTGCATAGCCTTATGTTGCTTGATTGTTTCGAAAACTTTGAAATTAGAAGAAGGCAGTGCCATTTATGTTTTGCATCAATAAGTACCAATCGGCAAGCGCTTATTTATGATCCAACAAATGGGGGCAAAAAAGAAAAGGGCCCACGAGGAAGGCACGCCATGCAGGCTATCTCATTCTCTCCAACAGAACAGGGCCCAGTTGTTCGAAGGCCGATTAGCGCTTAACCCGGAGTTAAATTTAACCCGGGTTTCTTTTTCTTGTGTTCAAATGCATTTTCTGGGATAATTTTCTCTGTTATTTTTAGAGCTTCCAATCATCAACTTGCAGACAAACAGAAGTAAAACCGAATTAAAATCTCGCACTAACACTGGGTTATCTTAACCCAGCTTTGAACAACTCGGCCCTGTAGTTTAGAGAGGCTGCTGAGGAGGACGATAATGGAATTGAGAATGTACAAACTTAACTGATAACTGGATACACGTAGTTGAACCTCGATACAACCGCCACGTAACGAAGGACATGGACCCCGCCAGTATAACTAATCATATTCTTCGCCCCAGTCAAAATAGGAAAAGTAACTATGGAACAGCAAGACCCCCCTATTGAAGAATACAGATATAGAGTTTCTCGGAACACTTTTATTACCAAGGGAATTAATTAAAATAACCTTTACATCACATGCACGGAGACATTCGTCTGTGTATTAGGCAAACGTTCTGAGGCAAATTTCTAATGGCAACTGTCTATGGACAGGATCCTATATCCCTGCCATGGATTAAAAAAAACTAATAATTACTACTATTGTGGTATTATTTTCAAGATGGAAATAAATTTACCATGTGTTGTAATTGCACCTAATAAAAAGAAGGTATATAAAAGTTTTATTGGGTGCCAGGAGAGAATCCTCTCTTGTAGGGTATTGTTCCATACAGTCAAACCTCGCTTTACGCCGGACACCCGCTCAATACGGACACCTCATTTTTATGGAGAGTTTGCTTTGTCCCTGGGAAAACAAAGCCCTTATAATCTCTCTAAATTCAACCGGCTTAATACAGACACCCCGTTTATACGGACCCTTTTCCATGGTCCCTTCAGTGTCCGTATTAACGGAGTTTGACTGTACTTTGCACTTCACATTGTAATGGGACGATGATTATGCAGGGTCCACTGTCAACATGACCCCATGAATTATCCCAGTTTTCTGGCACTTTCCTATTTCTTGACTGTACCATCAGGTTGACCTTAAAACATATACAGTTAGTAACATATCCGGAAAATCAAATCGTGAACCTCGAGCAATAAATTGGTTTCATTGCCTTCCATTTTACGAAAAAAAGAAACCAGACGTTCGCCCTTTTTACTCCACTGTTACACAGTAACAACATGGTAACGTTACCCTGCCAGCGTAGGTTTCTTTTCGGTGTGGTTTTAAGTATTTATGAAGTCTTTTTTGTTGCTAACATTCGCCTACATGTCCTTATACGCCTATACATGTCCTCATTCTCCTATACTTCCTTAATGCTTAAAACCATGCCGGAACAGACAAACCTCTGCAAGCAGGGTAGGTAACGTGGCTGGATCTAGGAGGTTTAAAGAGGAGGAAGGTAAGATTAAACATTATGGAGCTTAAGCAACGACGACGGCCACGACAACGAGAACGGCAAAAAAAAAGAAAAAAAGGATTAGATTAGCAAAAAAACAACTTTGCACGTGCATCACGCTTTTTTGTACATTTCTTAGCCTTTCGTTGCACGACTACGACGTGAAAGTGCATAATTTCAAGTTTTGTCGAGGACGGGAACACAAGACAATAACTTTTCTTTTTCATTTCTTGAACTTTGATGGAGTCCTTTAGAATTCAACTCCAAAAAAATTTGCCAACATTTGACGAATTAAACGAGATAAAGTTCGAGGCAGCGCGAATTAACTTTTAAGTGACGTTTTTGTAGACGTCGCCTTCGTCGTTGCTAAAGCTCCCCATTACTTCTACGTGGAAAAGTCAACTATGTAGACCATGATAATCGTGCAACACACAATTTTAACTAGTAAATCAAACTCAAGGTGACGCGCCTGTCAAGTGTCAGAAACAGTGTGGTGCGGTTCGGGCCAGACAGCGAGTGTTAACATGACCCTTTTATCACACCGTACATTAGTATATTACACCCTGCATGTTTTTACTACAGTGTTACTGGGAGATATGAGTCATTTTCAGACATCTGGAATATTCACAAAAAAGCCATACAAAAAAGGTTCTCAACGTTTTTCTAGGTGGTTTAGTTGTAAGTTTTGTCTAGATTTCGTCAATTTATATAACAAGCCAGTGGTTAAAAAGGTGTACCGATCATGATTGAGGGTGCAAAACAAGTTCCTACCAAATAAAGGCTGCTTACGAATGTTCAGCCTTTTGATCAAGGACCCTCCCTCCAATCCCCGGCCCCCTTACCCCTTCCTATATCCGCTATTCTGTTAACGTACGAAATTTCAAAGTTCGTAATATACAAGTCTCTTTCAATTCCTGAATATGGCAGCTTGCATCCAGGGCTCTTCAAATAGATTTGAATTCCAGCTTTTGCAATCATTTCTCTTCATGCTCTTTCTCCATCGCCAAGCACAACACTAAATAAAGATCATGGTCACTGATTTGAAGAATCCAGCTCCTTGTGCCCGGCTAATGACAGACCACCAGAAGTTGCTCAATTTACTTGTCTTGAAACTGCAACTGAAAACAGAAAGTTGCTTGTGTTATTTAAGAAAGCTGGAAGCTATCAAGTCTAAAACTCGCGTTTTTCGCAAATTCAAACAATCCCGAAATCTACAACTCGCGAAAACTGGAATGGAAGAAAAATAAAAGTTGCGAAATTTAGTACTCTGTCACGTTACAAAACAAAATAATTCTTAAAGTTGCTGTAAGTCGTGGACGTGATGGCGATGATTTTAGGTAATTTCAAATATGGTTCTTTTTCGTAGATTTTTCCATATTATCTCCCTGCTTCACTATCATCTGTGTCCTACAGTATAAATCTTTCAAAACTGTCTTTCATACATTCACTAAACTTTATGCTCGGCTCCCTCTTTAATTTTGGCACTGTTCCTTTTCATAAGCAGATCATGGTATTATACCCTTTGTATTATACCCTTTGTAACAGTGGTAATTGCTCCCCCAAACTCGCGGAATTTTCGTGCGCAAAATTGTAAGAATAAGATTTACTCTAGACGTATATCTACTAATTGTGTTGTGGTGTGGGGACTGTTTAGGCCAGGAGCCATAATCAGTTATGCCTCCTGTTTTAGGCTGCAATTAGTCCCCTGTTTTCTTCAAATTAGGGACTTTAAGATTCAACCGGACTCGACGGCAACGAAAACGTGCTAAAAAAGGGTTTCGCCGTTTCTGCACAAGTAGGACGTGAAAATGCCTAATTTCGTGTTTTATGGACAACGTAAACAAGCAACGAAGAAATTTATTTCGCTTTCTGAAATTGAGTATGGTCCCTTGGGATTCAAATTCGGGAGGGTTCGCGTACATTTGACCAAGTAAGTAAGTAGGAATGATCGCGATAAAGAATGAAGAAGGCAGATTCACTTTTTAAGCGATGTTTTCGTTGCTGTCGCGTCGTTCGATCTTAAAGTCCCTTTCAACTTTTTAGTGAAGGAATTACTCGCGCGCGAGGGAGCACGCACCCTCAGCCGCGCGCGCCGTTTTTAGCGTGTTTCGCGCCTTTCGCTCCACGGACTGAAATAATAGACACTGCTCGTAGAGTCTAGGTACTGTTACGATCTGTTAGGTTACAGTAACTCGCGAAACTGAGCTCGTGCCGCCTATTTTTGACCGAGTAGAGAAAAACTCACCTTTAATTCTTCTTTTTAGATTCTGTTGGCAACTGTACGTGGACGAATTTTATTCTTGTGCCCGACAAACCAATGGCGACAAGAGGATGATTCAGACAGGCTTCCAAACAGAGTGGTTGCTCTCCAATGTCTAGAACACTTAGTAGATCTCCGGTTCTGACATTAAACAATTGGAGAAAGTTGTCCCCACTGCAGCATACCAGAGATTCATCATCTAAAAACTTACATTCAATAATGTCGTTCTGGTCTCTAAGAAGGACGTGCAGTGTTTCTCCAGTATCTGCGTCAAGAACATGTAGACCTTGACCTTCGTCGAGAGTGTTCCACGTAACAACAAACTCATTCTTGGGCGAGAAAATCATGTGTTCGTTGCGAAGATATGAATTATCCGCGATTCGTTCCCATTTAACTGATCCTTTGTTGAATAAACTAACTGTGACCTCCCCCTCGTCTATAGGTCCCCAGGAATGCCCTTCAAAACGGCAAACCAAAACATTGCTCGGACTATTGCATGAAATTTTATATAAGTATCCTCCTTCGTCGTAACGTGTGAACCTTAGCGAGGACACAAGCTTTCCCCCCTGAACACCGGTTGTGCTTATAAAGTCAAGACAATAATCTGTACAATCCTCGAGAGGTGTACACTCTAACAAGTCGTCGTGTAAGTTTTCGTTTTCTTCAGATTCTTCTAGGCTTCTGATATAAATTGATTCCCGTGATTGTGGCAAATAATAAAAGGCTATCAGTTCATCTGATACTGGTATCAAGGTTACTGAATACACAATACTAGTATCACTGGTAAGTTTAACAATACTTCGAATGCACTCCGACAGGTCGAAATTCCACAACTCTGCTACACGATCATTTTTAAAGAGTACAAGACCTTCCTTCGTTGGAACGATCGACACAGGGCCAAAGAATGTCTTTGTCTCCAGAAATTCTCGACTTGACAGTCTCCAGATAGTTATCTTTACCTCTTCTGAGCTAAAGTAGACAAACTGGCCTGAACTTACGACATATACTGCATCGCCTTCCATAGAAAAAATAATCTTCCTGATACCCACGTTAACGTTCGAGGAGGAAGTCGAATCGCTTTGCAGTAGACCAACATTTAACATCGTAACGTATTTGTGATCTGGGCTACCAACCAAAATTGTTTCGTAGTTGAGACTGATGTAGGAACCTGCGAACAAATATGGAATCTCTCTCTGCACCTTCGACGCCCAGGAAGGTCCTTCATCCTGCTCCATAAAAGTACATTCAGTCAAAGCGCTTGGTGCAGCAGAGGGCCATAACACGAAGGTTCTGGGATCAACAGGTTCAAAATGAGGATCTGGCAGCGAAACGTTACTCAGAGGATTTTTGAAGGAAACTGTTGGTTTTCTTTCTTCAGGTTCTAACGCATCAAACGGGCAATGGTAGTCCTCGCAAGAGGCTAATAGACATCCACAAACCAGAGTATCATTATCGGATGTGAAATGCATCAACCCACACACCCAGTCATCTTTACCAGCGTCGGGGAATCTCAAACCAAAGTCGTTTATTACGGAAAAAAAAGCAATCTCACCAGTCACATCAGAAATAGCGATAAGTGACACATCGCCAGAAATGGTAAAGGATGAGATTTCTTCATCCCAATTGATAACTTCAAGTTTCTGGCCATTCTCCATATCCCAAATGATTATCTGCTTTGGGTCATCTGGGCAATCTGTAAATATCACTTCTTTGTCATTATAAAAACGTAAGAAGTAATATGAAAATGTGCAGTCACTGTCCGGAAAAAGGTCTTCTCTATCTCCACTAATGGTGTAAACATGTTTAAGAGTTCCTGGTATTATCCACTTCCCATTTGGATGAAATGTGACAGAATGATAAAATGACAGAAAATGCCCAGTTTGTCGATATGCACCACTACCCGTATATGCCTCTTTGGAACTATACGCTCTGTTTGTTAGCGATGGACGAACCCATACTTTGGTACCAGTCAGCAGGGAAAAAAGATGGATTGTTTCATCTCGACACTCGCATACCATGTAATCCAATTTAGGTGAAATATCAAAACATGCGATTTTATCTGAACAGTAAAATCGTCCCTGAACGGCTCCCTTTTGTTTGTCATTGTCTAAATACTTCATGTATGGCACCTTTGGAGTTGACGACTTAACAATACCTGCTGCTGTAGACGATAATCCAGGGGTACCTTCGTTAATCAAACACTGGAAAAACAGGTGAGGATGATCAAACAAGATGTAAGAGTGTTTTCTCAGAAGGCTGAGGAGAGAAGTCACAACAACATCTTTTTCCTCGCTTACTATTCTGGAATTCTTACTGTGGAGGCTGAGAAGGTCTTCTATGGCGGATGTGCTCTTAACACAAAGTTTTGCATAAATAAGTTCCACGTCTGTTGTGTATCGGTACACCTGTTCAGCTGTGACACTATTGGTTCTTGTTTTGTCAGCGCAGTCATGATCGGTGACCTCAAGCATGTGCTGAGTACCATGATGCAAAGCATATGTTTCAGTATTCGAAAACTGTTTGCCATGGACCCCTTTTCGCTGCAAGCTATCGAGTTCAGAAGCACAGAGATCAGAAAGGACGATATGACCTTCTTTCTCGTCCACGGTGAAATCATGTTGTTCATAAAGCAATGACGCTATTAGCCAGTCCTTGATTGACTTGTGAAAAAAGTGCAGACGACCCTCCCGAACTGGTAACAGTGTAGAGATGCAAGATATCGCTTTGTTAACTTTTCGCTGCGCAGTCAATGATTTTCCTCCAGGGTTTAGAATTTTGGCAATGAATTCTACTGGTAATGGTTCCCTTGCAGCGGTAAATGCACACAGGAAACGCAAAAAATGTTCCTCATCTGCATTAAACTCTTTGCAAAGTTCATCCTCTAACCGCGTAAAATAGGACAGGTAAACAGATGAAATATCTGAAGGTAACACACTTTCCAGCAGATCAGGGCTGAGAATTGAAACATTCTTTTGGATAAAATCCACTATAAAGTAAGCGTAAATAAACAGGCCTTCTGATTTCTTGACCAGCTCTTTCAAGAGAACATGTTTATGCTCCTCACCAATTTTAAGGCTGAGTTGTGTTTCAAACAAGGTTTGAATGTCCTTCAAGTTTTCTTCTCGTTTTTGTTCAAGCTCTATTGGTTTCAAATGTCGCAATGCCTCTGTAACGTTCTTCTCTGGACGAGTTGTGATCAAAATTCTAATCCAGACTGGAAGCATAGAGAAATGGTTACTGATTACATGTAGAAGCTCATTGCGTCCTCTGTACTCGCTTTCATCGAGGCCATCTATGACTGTTAGGATGTTTCTTCCAGGATCTTGCATTGTGCTTAGAGGCTCTTTAAACAGCAACGCAAACAGCTCTTTTACACCCATGTTGTTGAGGTCTTTACCCAGATTTCTTGACATCTGTTCCACTAAAGCATCTTTGTAACTTGGCATCGCTTGACACAAGTGACAGGCCAAAGACTGGAGCATTAAACGTGGATCTCGGTACCGTGAATCGTTATGCTGACAAAAGTGGATTCCCGAGAGTCTTCCAGCTTTTTGAATTCTTTGCGAAACAACAGCGGAGATAACAGTCTTTCCCATTCCTGGATTTCCACTGATTACCATCGCCCGATGTGGCGAGCTCCGGTCGTCTAACCAGTCTTCGATCCTTTTGAAGATCCACTCACGAGTTCCTTCCTGGAATTTCTTTGCATGAAATTCTGTGTCTCCTTTGAATTCAAACTTCACAAGGGTCCTAAGCACCTCATCTGCGTGCTCGCTTTTCTTTTTCGTCAAGCTTTTTACTTCCTGTTTTACTTCTTGAACTGATTCACGAATTTCGTCCACAGCCTGGCTGGTTTTAGTTTGGGACTCACACACTCCGTCTAAACGTGACATGCTTTCCTGGTGTGCTGCCCTAAATTCTTGATGTCCTTTGAGTTCTATCTCCACTGCTTCATCTACAACATCCTGAGTTTTGCTTAGGGCTTGACGTAACTCTTCCATGTTTAAATTGCCATCTTCAACTGTTTTACTGAGTTTTAGTTGCGTCTGGTGGATGTCTTTCAACTGGGTTTTTATGTCCTCTTCACTGTCAGCCCACTCAATTAAGGCGTCAAGGTAATCTTCCTCTCCTCCATGCTCTGCCTTCAGTCTGTCAATCTCAGCTTGATCTAGTCCGAGAGAATGAAGAGTAATGCTTATTTCATGCCAGAGGAAGGAGAAAGATGTTGCATCAACCCTCGTGGACGTCACGTGACCATACAACTCATTCCGGAAGAACTTAACGCGACCAAGGTTAGCCTCAAGAGAGTTATCAGCAGGGGGTGGCTTGGTGTGCCATCCTGTCAGGGGAGGGGATAAGCCGCAAATGGTAGTTAGCAGCAGGAACAGAAGAGTGATGTCAAACGTGTTGGAGTCTGGCACCCCTCCACCAGAGGGGAAGAGTTTGTTCCACTGATGGCCATTTAGTACTCTTTTACGCAAAAGTTTGTTAAGAACGGAGTAATTGAAATTGAGATCAGAAGCCAAGTTGCCAGGTGGGTGATAATGATCGAAAATATTCCTCAGCGCCGTTGTTCCGCCATCGATGAGAAGCCTGCTCAGCTTGTTTCCATTTGTCTTCTCTATTGAGCTGGCCAGGGGTGAAGGTGCTGCAGTCGCCATTTAGCAAATTTGATGCAGAAGAAAACGTTCATGTCTTGGAAATTCATTCTTAACCTACATTGGCAAGAAAGATAAAACGTGACTCACACCACAATTAACGATCAACTCGCTTTGTCATTGCTTTCATTTGTTTTGTTTTTTATTTTTATTTTCATGATTACAAGACCATGAAACTTTACAAACGAAGTCACGCGTAAAGGAGTTGGCTGCCGCACAATTAAGAAGACAATTAGGAGAGTATGAATATGACTGGCATGACTATTATAAGAAAAAACCAATGCCTTCGAGAAGGGTGTTTAACACGACATTTGCTGTCGAGGGTATTAAGTGAACACAACAACTAGATTTACGATTGTGGACGATTTGACTTGGTTAACCGAGCGCATTATATTAGCAGGAGAACAGTTTTTGAACTCTCAAGGTTCCGCTTTACATACATACATACATACATACATACATACATACATACATTTTTATTTGTGTTTGAAGTAAAATTACAATAACATGCCCGCGGGTAGCTAAGCTAATCTAGGCGGGTCATGTTACAGAAAATAAGTACAACTAAATACAGCTAAAAGTAACAAGAGAACTAAAGAAACTAATATTGACAACAATGACTAAAAACTACTGATAAACTAATGGTATTACTAATAATAAATGACAACAGTTATGACAAGAGACTACCGATAAACTAAACGATATTAATGATTACATATCAACTAAGAGGAAAATAAATTTAGCTTAACTTTTTGAACGATTTCTGGGAGATTAAAATAACAGTCTTCTGAAGCTAGGATCTCAAAAACTGTTTGTTTTATTTTCCTCTTAAAGGCATTTTTTGAAAGTTTTCTTTAAGATACAGGCATTTCATTCCATATTTTTGTTCCGATTCTAGAAAATGAACTCACTTGAATTGAGAGTCGGGAACTTTGTGTGTAAAAGTTATTGGAGGCAGAGGATCGAGTATTATAAGAATGAATATCAGAAATATCTTGAAAGAGATCTTGAATGTTTCCAGGAGCATTATTATGTCTTATTTCAAACATAAGGTTAGCTAAATGCTCATAATACAAAAATTTTAATGGTAAAACACCGGCGTCAATAAATAAAGGAATGGCATGCTGATTTCGCTCAGAAAAATAGATAAAGCGAAGAGCTCGCTTTTGAAGCTTGAGAAGCTTTTCAAGGTGCGATTTATATGCTTGGCCCCAGGCAGTCAAACCATAAGTTAAATAAGGAGCAGCAAGAGATCGATAAATATTTAGAAGAGTATGTCTTGGCAGAAAATGCCGTAGTTTACAGATCAATCCTACAGTTTGGCTCATTTTAATAGCTACGTGGTCAATATGATGTTTCCAAGAAAGATTATTGTCAATTATTATACCTAGATATCTCACAAATTCTTTACATTCTAGAGCCACATTCTTATTTTGATCATTGTCGAATATCATTATTTTAGGGTGATAGGTAAGTTTTCTCTGAGCCGGTCTAAAAATGACAAAATTCGTTTTTTTAATATTCAAGGTTAGTTTATTAGCCGTTAACCAATCGAACAACTTGCAGAGTTCTTGATTTACAGTCGACTCAAGGGACTTAAGATTTTTGTCAGCATATACGGCATTCGTGTCATCAGCAAATAAAAAAAAATTTAGTTTGCCAGAGGATTCTTGGATGTCGTTGACATAGATTAGGAAGAGTAATGGGCCTAGGACAGAGCCTTGCGGAACACCGCAAGTGGTATTTTTTCTTTTAGATATAAAGGAACCAATTTGCGTCGTTTGAGTTCGACCTTCTAAGTAAGATGAGAACCACTTATTTATAACACCACGAAAACCATAGTGATCTAACTTGTGCAAAAGAATTTTATGATCGACTGTATCAAAAGCCTTTTTCAGGTCAATAAATACACCACATGAGAACAAGCGCTTGCCCATGTTTTCCTGAATGGTACTTGCAATGTCAAGAATTGCATGCTGAGTTGAGTGCGCTTTGCGGAAGCCATATTGAGATGGAGAAAGTATGTCATTTTGCTCAATGAAAGATTCCATTCTAGAGAAGACCAATTTTTCGAAGATCCTATTAAAGTTAGACAGCAAAGAAATAGGCCTATAGTTGTTTGCGTTAGTGTTATCTTCAGCTTTAAAGATAGGAATAATTTTTGCCATTTTTAGTTTAGTGGGATACATCCCAGTCGAAATAGAAAGATTTATTATTTCCGCCAGTGTACTGCTGATAACATTTGACGAGTACTTCAACAGTTGAGCAGGACATGAATATAAACCATGAGATTTGTTAATTGGTATGCGCAAAATTTCCAATTCCACTTCAGCTGGGGTAACTAGGTTGAAAGCAAACGAAGAGTCAGGAGAGTTAGATGTGTTCAAAAAATCAAAATATTTACGCTGAACGGTTGGTAACTTATTTGCCAGTTTAGGTCCAACAGAAGCGAAATGGTCATTAAGAACGTTGGCTATTCTACTTGGGTCATTGGTGACAGAATCATTGTCATTAGGGTCCTTAATAAAAGTAATAGGTTTTGTGTTCTTTAATTTACGGGCAAGTACATTGTTTATTCCCTCCCATGTTTTTTTCATATTAGTTAAGTTATCATTAAAAAATTTAGAATAATAATGCTGTTTACTTAAACGCGTTAAGGTACAGATTTTGTTTCTATAGATTTTATAATTGGCGGTGTCACCAGATGCATATAATTTATTTTTAACTTTAATGGATATTAATAATGGTAATTGAACTGAATGGAGTGCAATTTGGTCTGAAATCATACGCGTGATTTGAAATCACAAGTATGATTTCAGACCAAAATCGCACGACACGAAGCTCAATTACCACTTTATTACATCCATTTTGAAATCGCAGAATTTAGTCAGTACTAATATTTTATTGATCGAGTAGCCAGTTTGTTAAAAAGCCGAAACAAAAAGGCTTTTCATCTCATTTTGTATTCCAAACAGAAATTATGCGATATAGAACAAAAATGGTGCGATTTAAAACAGAAATGATGCGATTTAGAACATAAATGACGCCATTTGGAACAGATGCGATTTAGAGCAAAAAATGGTGCGATTTAGGAATAAATCACACTGCTGAGAGCCAATCAGATTGCACGGATAGCCAGTGATTTCAAAGTGGATGTAATAAGGGAGTTTATTTGGTTTAATTACAAGAGACAGGGCTTTTCCTTTTTGCGTGCAAGCAAGTACATAAGAAGTTCAGAAATCATTTACTACCAGATTGTTTGTTAGAACCAAGCATTATGCATTATCGGTTTATCAGTGTCGGTTTATTGATTTCCAAAGGGAACGATACGATGGTGACAAAAATCTACCTAAGCAACACAATACTGACGTACAAAACAGATTAGAAAACTGACAACAACTCATACATGGACCTTATCAATTTTTTCATATCCGCGACACTCAATATAAGAATATAACTGAGCACACCCTGACTGTCATCTTATAATTATATTTCCTGTAGTATTACATACATTTTCAATGTTGAAGTACGGTAATCCATACTGACTCCATGGCAATTAGCTTTATCGGCCTTGTAAGTCATCATTTGACTGTATACACTCAGAATCGATATGACCACTAGCTTTTCGTTCACTTGTGAATTCTCAAGTTTTTTACTAATTCCGACGAATGGGATGCTTTTTTTATCTGTTGTTGCCAACTAAAAGCAGAAGAGCCGTAATGTGTCACATAAAACGCGCAATGACTGCGGCCGGGTTATCAACCGTGTCAGCCTATAGACGTGAACAATACTTTACGTTTATCTAGGATTTTGACAGCGAGGGCAACAGCCAGGATAAACTTACCGACATCCTTTTTAGTAGACAGAAAAGGGGTGGTATGTTACGACTTATAATATGTGTATGTACTTGAACTGGCTGGTCACAGGCGTTCATGACTAAAACCGACCACCTAGTTTCGTCACTGAGGCGGAAATATGAACATATGTCTCCTTACCGTGAGGGTCGCAAAAAATATTCCTTCGTTCGATATTATCAACTCTGGTCATGACTTCGGCTAGATTTCGAGCACATTAGCTAATGGCGACAGAAGCTTTGAATTAAAAACTACATTGAGCTTGTAGCTAGAAGCCAATAGAACTTAAGAGAATTTAAGGTCAATTATGATATTCGCTTCATAAATTGTTTATCAGTTTATTGCTGAGAATCTTCTGGAAACTTTGAAGGTTGCAAACAAAAGTGTCGGGATCGATCGGAATTTTTCAGAATCCCGAAAATCAAAAGTGATCTGAATAAAACTGCACTACATAGTAATAAATGCTCTTAATTTGAAACGATCTGTGGGGTACACAAGACCCTGAAGCTAATCTTTAACTAAGTTACCTTTCTGCTGTCACATTCTCTTGCGAAGCCTCTTCCACGTAGATTCCTGTATATGTCTCACAAAGAAACAAAGTGTTCTAAGTGACGTGGCCCATCGATGAATCTAAAATTTATAACGTTTAAGCATGACAAACTCTTGTTTACATTTGCATAGACTGATCTTGTTTGACTGTTTCGAAAACTTTGCAATTAGAAGGAGGGAGTGTCAATTTTGTTTTGCTTCAACAAGTGCCAATCAGCAAGCATTTATTTATAATCCAACAAAATACGTCATAGTCCCAGATGGGGGCCAAAAATAAAAGGGCGCGCGAGGGGAACACGCCACGCAGGCTATGTCTCGCCGACTCATTTCTCTTCGACAGAGTTGGCGTCACTGATAATAGTAGTTTAGAGAAGCTATTGATCGAGGATTACAATAATGAAAAAGAAAAAAAACGACAACAGCAATCACCTTCTTACGATATTCTCTTGCTCTTACTCAAGTTTTCGCGGTAGTCAGGTTCGAATCTCGGTAAGCCTGAATTTTTTCAGGCTTTCTTTTCGCAACTGCATAAGTTGCGTACATATTTAACTGTGATGACCTTCTCTGTATTTATTTCTGCATAATCAATTCCTCACTCCCGAGACTACAAGGTTAATGGGTACAAGCTTTCGGCGTAATGATTTTTGGGATCGTTTTGGTGGACAAGTGTTAGTTATGATTGGTCGATGGTATTCAAGGCAAACATCAACCAATCATAAGTAACGCTTGTCCTTCCATACTATCCCAGAAATCGTTGCGCCTAAAGCTTATACTCATTCCTTTATAGTTTCTGGAGTGCCGGGAAACTTTAAATAAAGGTCGAGTAAGGTGAGTAGAAAGCTAACTATAGTTGCAATATCTCCACTTGCTCTTTGAGAGACAGGCACCGGCAAAAATAAGGCAAAAAAGCGTACCAACGGCAAACTCACTATTCCTCTTCCCTATACAAACTTTATGAAAAATAGTTTCATTTCCTCTGGGGCAGTTCTACTGAGCTGCGATAGGCGAACTCTCTTGGGGCCTTCAGGGATGGCTGGTTGTTGTACACTAAGGGCCTGTTTACATGGAGTGGGGGACCCCGGTCTTGTGGGGTTGGTTTCTTTTGTTTTCACGCTCTATAGCGGACACAAAACAAAAGAAACCTACCCCACTAGACCGGGGTCCCCCACTCCATGTAAACAGGGTCTAAAAGTAATTAGGGATTTTAAGATCCAACGACGCGGACGGTAACGAGAACGCCAAAAAAACAATAGTTTATATTAGCAAAACAACAACTTTGCACGTGCACCATGCTTTTTTGTACATTTCTCTGCCGTTTTTGCACGACTACGACATGCACATGCGTAATTTCGCGTTTTACGGAGGACGTAAACAAGCAACGACGAAATTTAATTTCTCTTACTGTACTTGCATATGGTGCCTACGAATTCAACTCCAGGAGGGTTCGCCTACATTTGACAAAGTAAGTGGGTAGGAATAACTGCGATATAGACTGAAAGAACGTAAACTCACTTTTTGAGCGACGTTCTCATTGCCGTCGCGTCGTTGGATCTTAAAGTCCCTATTAACAAATAAAGAAGCCTAGACTGTACTTTGATCTGTTGTAAGGCACTTAGGAAGCGGCTAGAGCACTCAAGAAGTGTAGGAGGAAACGAGAAAAACGTAGTTGAGTGTTTCTCCCTACTTCTTAAGTGCTCTAGCCGCTTCTTAAGTGCTTTACAACAGAACAGAGCGCAGTCAAAGCTTCTTTATTTGCCTTATGATAAAGAATCCGTTAAATTCCCCTCGCGTTACTTTCTAATTTTTAAAACAAATTATTGGCAGATGGCGTGACAGCTTTAGCTTCGTGTTTAATATCTCATAAAGCACCCTTTTTCAACCAATCAGAGTACGCGTAATATCTGGACTTGATTACAAAGAGAGATAGAAGATAGCACCTAACGTCGATTACGTAGGGAGTGGTCGTCCAGTCTCCCAAGCAAGGCACTCAGGTAAAAAAACGCCCTACCAAGTACTGTAAAATGTATTCTCATCTGAAAATTTGCCTACTGAATTTTTTAATAAGAAGAAAAAACTTAAGGAGAACAGGAAACCCGGCTGAATAACGAGCTTTCCGGTTTAATTACCTCTTGCATATTAGCCTCGTTTTGGTCTCGGTACTGTAAATTACGGACCAAGGTTTTCCATCGATTCATTCCCGCTTGGGCCATAAATTGATCGAAAGAATTTAGGGTTCCTTAATTTAAAGTACGGACCGAGAAAACGAGGCTAACAAGATGTATGTTGCATGACTTCCTGTTTGGGGACCGGAAACAAGTGTAGGACAAGCGATGTGACAGTAATTTGATAGGCTTCAGAAAAAGAAAGTTTTTATTGGCTCACGAAAAAAATAGCACATTACAAAGTAGAAGCTTGTCAAGGTGGGTTTGTCATCATTGTTGAAGGATTCGCTTCTTATTCTTTAGGGAAACGTCTCAAATCTCTTCCAGTCCATTCTCGTCTTCTCAACCTTCAGACCCTCGTTTAAATTTTCGATTTCTGACTAGAATTCTCTTCTTAGGTAAAATAACGAATCAGTTTCTTCATCTGCTTCGTTCTCAAATAAACACAGGTTAAAACGTGGAGGGGCGAAGTCAACATCTAAGTTCTCAGCGTTTACAGACATATACTTGTTTAAAATATTTTTCTCGAGATAAAAATGAGTATTTGATTTTTGATTTGATTTTTTTGGTCCCTACAGTAGGTTATGGACCGCAAATTGACCAATCGCAGGGTGAAAACAGTCTCAATTAGCCTTATAATAACGAGTGATTTTTGTCTCCCCATTTGCAATAATAAGTATAAGACGCAGACGTCGTAGTAACGAAGTGCCAAAGGACCGTAAGTTAATTACAACAGTACCCCCGTAGGCCCGTTAAAATTAGTACATTCTCCCAGTCTACTGACAGCTCGTTGTATCGGCATTCCAATCTAGAAAATACTTTTTTAAAACAACTTGACTTTAACACCCGTGTAAAGGATTTAATATACAGTTATTTCGAGAAAGGTTGTCGGAAAAACTGTGCACGCGACAAATCCCGAAAGGTAATATGGGATATGATCAATGCACTGTTCCTGACACTGTAGCTGTCGAACCTACTTTTGCTGCTTTCCTTTAGCACTCACAAACATACGTTCATGGCCTCTCGTGCCATTCTTTCAAATTTCTTTGAAAAACAGTGAACTAAAAACCATCCACAATGCCTTTCGGGATTGTCGCGTGCACTTTTTCCGACAACCTTTCTCGAAATAGCGGTATGCTAAACGAAATAGCGGAATGCAAGTTATAAATATGGATTAATTGCTAGCGAAATTGCAGGAAAAAAGCCCGCGCTTCCAGCCCCTTCTCCCGTAAATGAGAAGAAATATTGGATCGAGTGAGCTTGCTTAACCTTCTCGTTGCTGGAAAAGTATGTGACTGTTTTCACCGTTATACAATAACAACAACCATTTGAACATTTTCGTGGGTGGATCTGTGTAATTTTTGTGTTTAATCTCTGTAACTGCTTATAATTCCCACGATGTGGCCGTTGCACATTAGTTTCTATAGACAGCTTGCGTCAGCTTCGAATACCCTTAATGCCATGATACATGCACCATAGGCAAAATTCTACTAATATTCTCATAACCCGATTTCTACGATTGTCAAGTGATAGCTAGTGATAACCGTGGTCTAGATTTCGTCAATCTGATTAAAATTTGATGATACCACGGTTGAGAGTGCAAGGAAAATTTCATTAATTTCGAGATAAACGTTTTTATGCTACTATCCACGCTATGCTTCAATTTCAAAGCAATCGAATTGGTTAATAACTGAAACATTCTGATCTTGATAGGTTTATTAAGGGGCATCCACACCCCTGTTCCTTCGCGTGTAACCTCACCCCCTCCTCCCTGTGATGATATGCAAATTTAAAACATGTCTAACTTGAAAATAAAAATCCAGTCCCTCAGTGCGGTTCCAATGGATTTCAATCCCCGCTGTGCAATTGCTTCTTCAGCGTTCACGGAGCTCCCTCAATGAGTTCTCAGAAAGGCAGATAAATTCAGGGGCTTTGATTTGAGAATCCAAATCTTTTTGTCAAGTTTCAGTTCCTCTGAGACTTCTAAGGAGGTTAATTCACTGGCGTTTGATGACTGAGGCTACAATTCAATTTAAATAAGAAAGTCGTTAGTTTCATGTAAAGATCCAGTTGCGTTACACTATTCATTAATGGACTAGGCAGCTGTGAAGTACCTAAGATAGACAGCCCTGCATTGTGCGGTGGAAGATCTAAGAAAAAAGGATTTCTACACCTAAACCGCGTTAAAACTCTCGAACCAACAGGTACCAACAGAAACTATCATGTTGTTGCCTAAGTTCAGTGGACACCGTCACTACGACGCAGCATTTGCTTCGACCAAAGAAAACACACACTCATTTTCTTATCTGAAACCCTCTTTTATACGATGGCATTTTGATGGCAGAACGAGGGCTGGTTTTCGGGGCTTTACTATTTAGTTAATCTACCGCGATGACCAAGAAACTGATAAAAGAAACTAACCGTGCAGTCTTTTTAGTTTCTTTTGGCAACTGTACGTGGACGAATTTTATTCTTGTCGCGGACAAACCAATGGCGACAAGAGGCTGGTACAGACAGGCTCCCAAACAGAAGGGTTGCTCTCCAATGTCTAGAATACTTAGTAGATCTCCTGTTCTGATATTATACAATCGAAGGAAGTTGTCCTCACTACAGCAAACCACAGATTCATCATCGAGAAACTTACAGTCAACAATGTCATTTTGTTCTCCAAGGAAGACGTGCAATGTTTCTCCCGTATATGCATTAAGTATATGTAGGCCATGACCTTGGTCAAGAGTGTTCCAAGTGACAACAAATTCATTTCTAGGCGAACAGAGCAGGTGTGACGCAATTATTCTATCTGGATCAATCCAGCAGGTCGTTCTTTCCAACAGAATCAAACCGTTTTTCCTTAACTTGAGTTTTACGTTCTCCAGTGAGTGACCTCCAAAATCTTCCTCTTTAGAAGTACAAAGTAACACTTGACTTGGATCAATACATAAAACTGAAAGTATCACTTCATCGGCATCCAAATCGGCCTTCAGTGATGAAACAATCCTGCTGCCAGCACTGGTCACGTCCAAGACGTCAATAACCCAATAGACTTGAAAATCCACACACCATTTGTGTATATCATCAGGCCAGTCCTCTGAATTATCTGAACCCTCATTCGCTAAATCCTTAGACAATTCGAACAATGCTACTTTATAGCAACCGGCTATAAATTCCTCTGAAGTAGAAGAAACTATGTTGTATGCGGTAACATTGGGAAGAGATCGAAGACAAGTGGACATGTCAAAGCTCCATAACTCTGCGACTCTGTCATGTTTTCGAAGCATGACGCCATCTCTAGTTGGAAAGATAGAAATGGGGCCTGGGAATATTTTTGTGCTCAACAGCTCATTATTTGACATTCTAAAAACAGTCAACGTTAAGTTATGATGAAGAGATTCTGATTCTGAAGTAATGGAATAAATGGCATCTCCTTCTAGAGAGAATGCAATCTTCACGACAACTCCACCATTCTGCAATCGAAACACCTCTTCAGTGTTTACCATAGCGACGTATTTGCAAGCTGGGCTACCAGCCAATGCCGACTCTTTATTGAGTCTGATGTAGGAGCCGGCGTACAAAAACTTACTGGGGATTACGCAATGCACCCAACAGTCGCTTATGTCCTGCATTGTTAAATCCCAGTATCCGAAATCCCAATCTAAAGTGCCTGATGAGTCGTATGGCCATAAGCTAAAAGTTTCAGGTTGAACAGAATCAAAATCGAGATCGGAATTAAAAGTTAAAAACTGTGATAGACCACAAAAACAACCTTTATAAGTGCCACATTCTTCCTCGACAGTAAAACCAAGAAACCCGCAAACAAGAGTGTCACGGTTCTCAGTATCGGGTGTGAAATGCATCAGCCCACAAACCACCGACTCAGTTTGAAGAATCCTTTGGACACTTTCGTTAACTCGATCAAAAAAAACAATTTCAAAAGTCACTTGGGAAAAAGCAACTTGTGACCCGTCTTCCGAAATGGTAAAGGTAGCAATTTCTTCGTCAGCAACGATGTTTAAGACGTTTTCACCATTTACTATATTCCACAAGGCTACCTCCTTTGGCTTATTTGGGCGGTCAGTTAAAACTTCTTTCTTGTCTTTGCAAAAGACGAAATTTGAAAAAATGCTATCACTGCTGGGGAAAAGGTCTTTCGTATCTCCATCCAGAGTATACACAAATTGGAGTGTCCCTGCTAGCACAGATTCCCCATTTGGATGAAACGTCACAGAACGGTAATAAGACAAAGAGTTATTACCTACAACACGGTATGCACTGTCGTCTGGATATCCAGAATAGAACTCTTTCTTCGTCAATGTTGGCCGAACCCATATCTTGTTACCTGTCAGAAGGGACCACAGACAGATAGTTCCATCTCGACATTCGCATATCAAGTAGTCCATTTCAGGTGAAACATCAAAACAAACGATTTTGTCTGAACAGTAAAACCTTGCCTTATCAGCTCTTCTCTGGTCTTCATTCTTTAAATGTTTCATGTAGGGTATTTTGGGTGTGGACGATTCAAGGATAACTGCTGCTGAAGACGACAATTCAGGAATTCCTTCGTTAATCAAGCATTGGAAAAGTAGGCGAGGGTGATCAACCAAGATATAAGAGTGTTTTTTAAGAAGGCTAAGGAGAGAAGTCACAACAAAATCTCTTTCATCGCTTAATAAACTGCAATTTTGACTGTGAAGACTGAGAAGATCTTCTGTAGCGGATGTGCTCTTAACTTTAAGTTTGGCATAAACAAGCTCCAGGTCCGTTGCGTATTTGTAGACCTGTTCTGCTGTGACACTAATGGCTCTTGTTTCGTCAGCGCAGTCATGATCATTTACCACCTGAAGCATGTGCTGGGTACCATGATGCAAAGCACACGATTCAGTATTCTTAAACTGTCTGTCATGAACCCCTTTTCGCTGCAAGCTATCGAGTTCAGAAACACAAAGATCAGAAAGGACGTAATGTCCTTCTTTCTCGTCCACCGCGAAATCATGCTGTTCATAGGACAATGATGCTATTAACCAGTCCTTGATTGACTTGTGAAAGAAGTGAAGGCGATCCTCTCGAACTGGTAACAGTGTAGAGATGCAAGATATTGCTTTTTTAACTTTTCGCTGCGCAGTCAATGATTTTCCTCCAGGGTTTAGAATTTTGGCGATGAATTCTACTGGTAATGGTTCCCTTGCCGCGGCCAATGCACACAGGAAACGCAAAAAATGTTCCTCATCTGCATTAAGCTCTTTGCAAAGTTCATTCTCTAACCGTTTGAAATAGGACAAGTAAACGGATGAAATACCTGAAGGCAATACGCTTTCCACCTGATCAGGGGTGAGAATTGAAACATTCTTTTGGATAAAATCCACTATATAGTAAGCGTAAATAAACAGGCCTTCTGATTTCTTAACCAGCTCTTTCAAGATAATATCTTTATGCTCTTCACCAATTTTGTTGCTGAGTTGATTTTCAAACAAGGTTTGAATGTCATTTAAGTTTTCCTCACGCTTTTGTTTAAGCTCGATTGGCTCTAAATGTCGCAATACCTCTGTTATGCTCCTCTCTGGACGAGTTGTAATCAAAATTCTAATCCAAACTGGAAGCATAGAAAAGTGGTTACTGATTACATGTAGAAGCTCATTGCGTCCTTGGTACTCGCTCTCATCGAGGCCATCTATGACTATTAGGGTGTTTCTTCCAGGGTCTTGTACTGTGCTCAGAGGCTCTTTGAACAGCAACGCAAACAGCTCTTCTACGCCCATGTTGTTGAGGTCTTTTCCCAGATTTCTAGACAACTGTTCTACCAGAGCATCTTTGTAACTTGGCATCGCTTGACACAAGTGGCAGGCCAAAGACTGGAGCATTAAACGAGGATCTCGGTACCGTGAATTGTTATGCTGAAAGAAGTGGCTCCCTGACATTCCTCCAACTCTTTGCATTCTTTGCGAAACAACAGCGGAGATAACAGTCTTTCCCATCCCTGGATTGCCACTGATTACTATCACGCGATGCGGCGAGCTCCGGTCGTCTAACCAGTCTTTGATGCTTTTGAAGATCCACTCACGAGTTCCTTCCTGGAATTTGTTCGCATGAAATTCTATGTCTCCTTTGAATTCCGACTTCACAAGGGTTTTTAGTACCTCATCTGCATGCTCGTTTTTCCTTTTCGTCAAGCCTTTTACCTCCTGTTTTACTTCTTGAATTGATTCATGTATTACATCGACTGCATGAATGGTTTTGGATTGGGAGTCACACACTTTATCCAAACGCAAAATGTTTTCCTGATGTGCTTCATTTGTCGCTTGATGTGTTGCGTATACTAACTGGCTTACTTCATCCAACTTTGACTTGCTATCAAGAAGGATTTTCTCACCTTTGAGCTCCACCCTCAATACTTCTTCTGCAACGTCCTGTGTTTTACATTGGGTCTCACTGAGTTTTAGTTGCCTCTGGTGGATATCCTTCAGCTGCGCCTTAATGTCCTCGTCACTGCCTGCCCACTCAGTTAAGGCATCAAGATAATCTTCCTCTCCACCCTGCTCTGCCTTCAGTCTGTCAATTTCAGCCTGATCCAAACCAAGACAAATAAGAGCCGTGCTTATTTCATGCCAGAAGGTAGAGAAGGATGTCGCCTCAACACCACTGGACGTCACATGACCATACAGCTCATTCCGAAAGAACTTAACGCGAGCAAGGTTAGCCTCAAGAGAGTTATCACCAGGGAATGGCTTGGTGTGCCATCCAGTCAGGGGAGGGGATAAGCCACAAATGGTGGTTAGCAGTAGGAAAAGAAGAGTGATGTCAAACGTGTTAGAGTCTGGCACCCCTCCACCAGGGGGAAACAGTTTGTCCCACTGATGGCCATTTAGAACTCTTCTACGCAAAAGGTTGTTAAGAATGGAGTAATTGGTATTGAGACCAGAAGCCAAGTTGGCAGGTGGGTGATAGCGATCAAAGACATTCCTCAGTACTGTTGTTCCGCCATCGATGAGAAGCCTGCTCAGCTTGTTTCCGTTTGTCTTCGCTGGAGAACTGGCCAGGGGTGAAGGTGCTGCAGTCGCCATTTAGCAAATTTGATGCGAAAGAAAACATTCACATCTCGGAAATTCATTCTTAACCTAAGTTGAAAAGAAAGATAAAACGTGAGTCATACCACAATTAACTCGTGATTAACTCGCTCCGTCCTGTTTTTGCTCTAATTGTTTGTTATTTTATTTTTATGATTACAAGACCATGAAACTATAAAGACGAAGTCACGCGTAAAGGAAGATTGCGAATACGTTTAATCGTACACAAATTAAAAATATGCGAGTCTATTAATAGGATTACCATTGTTATTGAAAACTTACCTACAATACCCAAAACATCATTCATCGATGTTATTTAGTCTATACACCAGCTTGAGTTTTAGTACGAACGGGAACGCTTTGAGCTGGCTATGATTAAGCGAGCGCATGAGCAGGAAAAGAGCTATTGAGGTCCGCTTAACTGAGTTCTGCTTTACTGGACTTTAAGTAGTTATTATAATTACAAGAGACACGGCTTTCCTTATGCATTTGGGATCAAATACATAGAAAGTTCGGAAATCATTTACTGCCAGGTCGCTTTTAGAAGCCAGCATTATATATTATCAAGAGAGAATCGGTTTTTTGAAGCAAACTGAATGAACAAATTATCGGTCTATCGAATGCCATTGAGAACGATAGTGAAAAAATAAACAAAAAACAATCAACCTGAGCAACACAACTCTGACGAGCAAAACAAATGTTGAAACTGACGACAACGCAGACAAGGAAGTGATATCCGCGACAAGAATATAGTTGAGCTCACTCTGACCGTCATCATAATCATATTGCCTGTCTATTTTCAATGTTTAAGTACGGAAATCAACATTAAAGCCATGAATTAGCTTTCACTGCCTTGTAAGTTATCATTTGACTGCATACACTGATTATAATTATGATCATTGGCTTTTCGTTCACTTGTGACAACTTTCTGACAAAAGCGCTGCTTGTTGATCTGTTGTTCCCAAAAAGCAGAAGAGCCGTAAATTGTACGTGTCATATAAAACACGCAAAGTATAATGACTGCGACTGGGTTATCAACCATGTAAGCTTTTGACGCGCACGATACTTTACGTTTATATACGAGTTTAACAGCAAAGGGAAAAGCTAAGAAAAGCATAAACTTTCAGACATCTTCAATACACACACAAAAACCTGGGGTTCACGACGTACTTGCGTGTACTTGAATTGGCAGGTCACAGGCGTTCATAGCTCAAACCGGCCTGGTTTCATCAAGGCGGAAATATAAAAATATGCCTTCTCACTTGCTAGGATTGCAAAGAATATTCTTTCGTTCCATATTCTTCTCAACTCTGGTCATGACTTGTACTAAATATAGCGACCACATAAGCTAATGGCGACAGAAAGCTTGAGTTAAACTTTCATTGAGCAAGTAGCTAGAAGCTAATAGAGCTAACAATCTGCTTCATGAATTGTTTATCCATTTTCCCTTTATGCTGTCTGATGAAATGGTTTGCAAACGTTTAAAATTGCAAAATCTTGTCATCGATCAGAATTTTTCACGTTATACCGAACATCAAAATTAATCTTCACAAAACTGCGCTATATAGTAAATTTGAAATATCACGGTGAATGCATTATGATGCCTCGATAAATGCCCTGTGAAACGATCTGTGAAGTACACAAGCCCCCTGAAGTTGCTTTTTAACAAACTTACCTTTCTGCCGCCACATTCGCTAGCTAAGCCTCTTCCGTGTACACTCCTGGACATGTTTCATAAAAAAACAAAGTGTTCTAAGTAACATGGCCCATCGATGAATCTAAAAGTTAGAAAGTTTAAGCATGACAAGCTCTTGTTTGCATTTGCATAGACTTACGTTGTTTGACTGTTTCGAAAACTTTGCAATTAGAAAAAGGGAGTGTTATTTTTGTTTTGCATCAATAAGCGCCAATCGGCAAGCGCTTATTAATAAACCGACAAAACAGATCTCAGCTCTAGTTCGAAAGGACTATGGGAGCAAGAAAGAACGGAGCGTGAGAGGGACTGAGATGCTAGGCAAGCCGTGTCATAATCCCTTCGAGGGAACTTCGGGAGTGTATTAAGGTCGTTGTTTTAATGCCAAATGAATAAGAAAGAAAGAGTAATATGCGAATTCGGAATGGATTTAAAGAAATCTTTTTGTTGGCGTTCTAATCTAAGCAATGATTTCATAATTTCTTACAGGCCAGATCTTAAAACGTGCGTGTGATACTCGCAGTTTAACATACAAAAAGGCGGTAATACGCTGGACAGCCATCTAACTTTTAGTTCATCGTGAGCGGAATGATGATAATCATGATTGGGCTTAGGATAAGTTTTATAAAATTTTACTGTGCACAGTTTAAGACTGACACTCAGCAGAACAATTATTTGATCTGTACAGTTCTACTCTTTTCGCGTGCGTTAAAGCACACTTATACTCACCCCCACAGAGGCACACGTGTAGGGGGAGGGGGTAAGCTGCAACTCCTCTACGGAAGCTGAAGTGCTTACGTTGTACTCAAATGGGATAGATGCTAACCTCTGGGAATCTGGAGAATATTTCATTAGTACTATTCCATCCTACCCACTATATATCACTTTGAACCCACCTCAAAGACCCCACCACCGATTCGTACACAATTTAGCCCGTGAAAAGCCCCTCCGTTTGGGGAAACGGGGCTTAATATCGGACGAGATGGGAAGAGGGGAAATGGGGGAATGGCCACCGCCCTTTTCCCCTCCTTATGCCTAGCTATCTTTTTTTCCCCTTTTTCTCCATTAAGGAGTCTGGTGCAAGGCTGGACATAACTCAACCCGACTGACCAAGACTTCAAATCGGCTTTGCTAAAGTTGAATGTCATTTAATCAAACAGCTGCTATAATAAAGCCAGACGTTTCTTGTTCCTCAAGCTGGGCTTGTTTCTTATGACAGACACTGCCTGCTTTGGCCATGCATGCTTGTAAATCAGCATACAAGCTAGCCTGCGAACAGCAGACGCATTTCTGGTCGTCGCTTCCCTCCCTCCGAAAAACATTTTCGGAGGGAGAGCCAACTGGTTTGTCTCTTACCGGTCGGGATTCCTTCTTAGAACCCCGGAGGGAGGGGGGCTGGGCAATCCCTTATTTGACCTAAAATATGTGCCTCTGAACAGGGTTTGGTTTTCAGAGTCTTGAGTCTAAAACATGTTATACAATTTCATTTTTTAGCATCTTGAATACGGGGTGTCATTTTGGACAAGAGGCTTTTAAAAGAGTGTAACGGTTCGTGAGAAGCGGTCTACATTCAGACGTGGCACCAAAATGTTTTTCCACAAAATCTTTAATTACATGATGTTAGTTTGAAAACCTCCTAATTCTACATGCACAAGGGAACGAGAAACAAGCGATTTTGTCTTAAACAGGTTTAGGGTTTAAATTTTAAAATTTAATTAAAATTGATAGATTTTTGCAGTTGTTAAGATGTGAGGTCGCATTGCACTTTGTAAATACTTGAGATGCTAACGACTTAACCTTCAACTATTCGTTACGTATGTGTCACGGGTGGGTTACGGGTAGCTTTGTGCGTGACTGTCATGCACTATGCTTGCAGGACTTCATTTCCAATAGAATCTACCAGCCTACAAATTGGAATAGTGTATTTATTTTTGAAGTAGTTTGAAAAATGTGTTTTTATTTTTCATACTGACGTCTTCGTTGATGTTTCTTTGGTGTCATAGATTCGCAAGGTCTAGCCTAGGCCTCTGCCTCATATTGCCTTTTCACTGTGGAAGATTCCTTGAAATTACAGTATAAATACCTAGACATCACTGGATGAGTTTTCACCGACTTTAAATTTATAATTATTGCATTTTTTAGTATAGGTTTTAAGTAGCCTTTAGTAGCTAAGGAAACGCCACAAAAGAAGAAGAAGAAAAAGAAGAAGAAGGAGGCGGAGAAGGAGAAGGAGAATGTCCATGGTAATGTGTTTCTATTCATTGCTAAAATTTAACTTCATAAAAAAATCACGTTTACGCAATCCCATAGTTTTTATTCTGGTGTAGCCACATAATGATTAATGGGTAGCGAATATGGGCGCAAGTTCAGTTACCCAACTATAACATTATAATCTTTATCCAGTTTTATAAACGGAAGGCACGCCAAGTTTCTGACTTTTCTCGCTGCATACATAATTGGCCCGTAAAAAAAGTAACTCCTTAAAATTCCGTCCGGCCTGCGCGCTGGTGTCATGATGCATTACGGCCCTTGGTTAGAATTGCTTGGTTTTTGCTGGGTTTTTGCCCGCCTCCTGGCCAGTTTAACGGAGTTCATTGAACGTGACTTAGAGGTTTCGCCCCTCCCACCTCCCCTGGTGGCGGTTGAAGTCGCTTACTCTCATTATTGGGCATATTGTCCTACTAGCCACAGTTCTCCCAAAACTTAGTTCCCCGTCCCGGGACAATAGGTTTGGAGTGCGAATACTATATCATTGTATGTACTAAAGGCAGTCAATGGTTACTGTGTAACGTGGCTAACTAGCATTTTTTTTCTCGTTCCCCTCATGGTCCCTGTGGCTTCCACGTCCGAACACAGGCTCCTTAAGAATTAATTGTCTCCTTATTTCTTCAAGCAAGTTCGAGTCAACACTTTTAGAGCGCCTTACTTCTTATGTAATCTCAAAGCAAGCGAGATTTAACGCTTTTTTAGAGCGTTCTTGTTTTTGGAAAAATCGGTGTTTAGCTCCTTATGTTTAGGTATGTTTTAGGAGGTTGAAAAAGTTTAAAAGGCAACTTCAGCTTTTAGGGTGAGGCCATCTTGGAGCCAAGGGGAAAATCTGTTTTTCACTCGGGTAAACCAAGCTCAATATGAGAGTTTTTACGGGTCAAAATAATTAAAGTTTGTATGGCAAATAAAACTTACATCGAATAAATGAAATAAAACGGGTAAAAGTTTTCAACTAAGTATAAATTAAACATTGTTTCTCGGTGTCGTTGGGTTTTTTTGTAACCGTAGTTACAGCGCGATTTGAGCAGTTTTTGCG